CCCGTCCCAGCTTCCCACAGATAGCCTACGTGCTGCCCAATGTACCAGAGTCCACCCTGAGCAACACTTCCAAGTCTCCAAGTTTCAAATGAGGATTTCAGGGTGGAGGCAACACCAGGAGCAGCACCCTCAGGTGCCAGGTCCCCACAGAACAGTCACCCATCACCACAGCCTGAACCAGGGCTCCCATCTGCAGCCCCAGGAGCTGTAGAAGAGTCTCACCCCCATTTTTCTTGTAAAGATCTTTCCTCCCCAAGACCAGAAGGAGGATGCTCACAACCCCCTGCCCACACAGCATGGTTACCTGCCCTCCTGCAGCACAGGCAGCCACCAGGCCATACTGCCCCCCCTCCTTCTGCAGTCGATGGGCAGCAGTGATGACCAGACGGCAGCCGGTGGCACCAAACGGGTGTCCCAGGGAGAGGGAACCACCCCAGTTATTGAACTTCTCCAGAGGAGGGGCTCCAACCTGCAAGAGCACACAGAGGGACACACGTGATCCCCTGTCCAGGAGACTGCTTGACCTACTCATGGAATCATCCTACCATTTTGGTTGGAAAAGACCTTTCAGATTATGGAGTTGAACCATTAACCTCACTCTACCACATCCTCTGCTAACCCGTGTCCCTCACCCCACATCTCCACGGCCTGGAAACCCCTCCAGGGGTGGGGACTCCACCCCTGCCCTGGGCAGCCTGGCACACACTGCCTCATCTCCAGCCCCTGTCCACCAACCCCCCAGGGCCTTTCCCTGGGGCACTTTCCAGCCCCGGCCTTTCCCAGCCCCTCTGCCCCAGCCTGGAGCTCTGCAGGGGGTTGTTGGGACCCAATGCAGGAGCCAGCCCTTGGCCTGGTTGAACCTCATCCCACTGGCCTAATCCCATGGATCCAGCCTGGCCAGGTCCCTCTGCAGAGCCTCCAACCCTCCAGCAGATCAACCCTCCCACCCAGCTTGGTGTCATCAGCAAAGTGACTGAGGTGCCTCCATCCCCTCATAGATCATTGCTGAAGAGAGTAAACAGAAGAAGCTCAACACCACCAAAGCTCCAGTGGCCCTGTCTGGCCATATGAAGTGTACTTCAGCCTGGAGAAGAGCTTGATGACAGGACAACACCAGGCCTAAGGCTTTAGTGCCTCACTGGCCACAGGAGAGGCACAGCCTGGGCTGTCAGAGAACACCCAGCAGGACTGAGCCCCTCCCACGGGTTTCAGCTCCCTCCTCTCTGAGCAATGCTCTGACTTTCCATCTCCACCTCCTGCCAACAAGGAGAATGTTCAAGAAACTTGGGCTTTGGAAACCCTGGGATTTGCTAAGCCAGAGTTAAGAAAGGTCCCTTCTCCTCAGAGAACAGCAGGAGCGCCTCCCGCCGCAGCGAGGACCCCCCCGGCCCCCGAGCTGAAACCAAAGGGGGTCCTGCCCCTGTCTCACCTTCACCTTCCTGCCCATGTAGTTTTGTGCAAACCAGTCCGAGTCCATCGCCTTCAGGTTGGCCAGGATCTGCCCCTGGGTGGGAGGGGAGGGCAGGGTTAAGGTGGTGAAAAGGAGACCCCCCCAAAAGCCCAGCCCTGAGAAAACCAACCTCTGCCAGGAGCCACTGCCCCAGAGCAGCACAGCCCCAGCCCAGCCAGGAGATCACAGAACAGGATCATGGAAGCATTAGGGTTGGAAAAGCCCTCTAAGATCATCAGGTCCAACCATCAACTCAACACTCCCATGTCCCCAAGTGCCACATCCACAAGTTTGTTGAACCCCTCCAGGGCTGGGGACTCCAGCACCTCCCTGGGCAGCCTGGGCCAAGGCCTCACCACTCTGACAGGAGAGAAATTCTGCCTCAGATCCAACCAAAACCACCCCTGGCACAACTTAATCCCATCTCCTCTCATCCTATCACTGGTTCCCTGGGAGCAGAGCCCGACCCCCCCTGGCTCCAGGCTCCTGTCAGGAGCTGTGCAGAGCCAGAAGGTCTCCCCTGAGCCTCCTTTGCTCCAGGCTCAGCACCTCAGCTCCCTCAGCTGCTTCTCAGAAGACATGTTCCCCAGACCCTTAAGATGGGGAGATCTGACCCACAGATCATGTGCAGAAGTAGTTTCCATACCACAAGGGTCTCAGTAAGGTCCAATATTTTTTTAATGTATTATTTCAGAAGGATCGGTACTCCTCCAGTGACTTCAAGCAACACCAGACACTCTCAGCGTGGACTGTAGAAATATTAAAGATCTACCCAGTACCTCTAGTGAGACATAACTGCAGAATTACACCCATCTGCTCTCAGGGGTCTTCACAAGAGCTTTTACCAACACTAAGGCAGATGTCTATGGAATGGCACCTTACAGTGAGAGCCATCCTTAGTGTCCAGAGTACTCACAGCAAAGGCTTCGTGGAACTCAAACACGTCGATGTCAGCCATGGTCAGCCCAGCCTTCTCCAGCACCTTGGGAGTAGCATACGTTGGGCTGAAGGAGAGTTAAGAAATGCAAGTCTTGCAGGAGCCACAGAATCATGGAAAGGTTTGGGTTGGAAGGGACCTTCAAAGATCATCCAGTCCCAACCCCCTGCCATGGGCAGGGACACCTCCCACCAGAGCAGGTTGCTCCAAGCCCCATCCAGCCTGGGCTTGAACACCTCCAGGGATGGAGCATCCACAGCTTCCCTGGGCAGCCTGGGCCAGGGGCTCAGCACCCTCACAGTGAAGAACTTCCTCATTTCTAATCTAAGTCTCCCCTCTTACAATTTGAAGACATTCCCTCTCATCCTGCCTCTACAAGCCCTTGTACAAAGTCCCTCCCCAGCTCTCTGGCAGACCCCCTCTAGAAGGCCACAATGACCATGTCCCCTCACTCCATCTTCCCCTTTCCACAGCGACTCACACCACATTCCTTCTCTCTGTGGTGTGTGGTCACTGCCTGCCCCACTCCAACCAAAACCCAACCCAAGGAACTGCTGCTGGTACCAGGAGGCCACGATGCCCCCAGCAAGGCAGGGTGAGTATTTCTGCTGCCCTCCTACGTCAGCCACCTCCCCCTCGTGAGTCACACCCAAAAAGGCCTGAAGAGATGCAACACCTCATGAGACACCTCACAAAACCCAAGCATGTCATGGCAAGTCAAGGTGATTGTACCAGTACAGACTCCTGATCATCACCACTTACCCCAGCAGCAGCTGGTCCTTTGGATCTTGGGACACGTAGACAAAGTCCCTGCACAGGAGAAATGCTGTCAGTAACAGGAAGAGAAGGAAGCAAGAGCAGGCTTCAGAGGCCATGTAGAGCAGCCCCATTTTACCTTAGGTAGGCCTTGGGCTTGTACCCCATCGCCAGAGCCTTCTCCTCAGACATGAGCAGAATTGCTGAAGCTCCATCTGTCTGAAAGAGGCCGAGAAGAACGAGGTCACTGCCTGGAGAAGGACATGCTGGAGCACAACGTGGGCCTGGCAGCCCTCCTGCAGAGCAGGACATCACCAGAGCTTCCAGCTTCCCCCCACAACCAGATGTCCCTGCTCCCAGAACAGGACTGCAGGGGGGTTGGACTAGATGACCCTGAAAGGCCCATCCCAGCCCAAGCACCCTGTGACTCTGGTTACCAGGAAGGAGGAGTTGGCTGCTGTGACGGTTCCGTACGGCTTGACAAAAGCTGGCTTCAGCTTCCCCATCTGCTCCATGGAGGAGGGACGGATCCCGTTGTCTTTGGTGACTGTATCCTTGCCTGGTGGCAAAAAAAAAATGTATATTTAAACCCTCAAAGTCAGCAATGTACAGGAATCTGCACGTCGGGAGTCCACGGGGAGAAAAACAATCAGAAAACTGCTTGTTATGACAAATGGGAGGTGGAAAAACCAGGGAAAATCCAATCGTGGCATCAGGATACTCAGCTCATAGCCAGCACTTCAAAAGCAAAGCTCTGTCACTTTCTCCCTGAAGACTGCAAAAATGAAGTGCTGAAATTTATTTACTGTATGAAAATTTATCACATGGAAACCCCAGTGGATAAAAGAAATTCAGGTCAGATTATGAAGCCTAAATCAGAAGAGATTTATGTGTTGAGGTTTGAGGAAGTAAGAGCAGTGGGAAGAACCAAATACATGCACCTTCATCCAGACCAACTGCTTTAAAGAGCCAGTTAACAAAAAAGTACCAATTTTAGTACAAAGACCACATGGAACTGTGGATCTACCAAGGTGTGGCCTCCTGAGAAAGCAAACTGCTGAGTGAAGGTGCCTCAGATGACAAGGAGCTAAACCAAAGTGTGCTCGCTGGCTGTTGGGGGAGGAGGGTGGAAATCAGGCCATGGGAAGAAGCTTAAAATTCTTCCCCAAACTGTTTCATGTCTGGGTCCTGCCCTTGGGTCCCAACAGCCCCGTGCAACACTCCAGGCTGGGGGAAGAGGGGCTGGAAAGTGCCCAGGGAAAGGACCTGGGGGGTTGGTAGACCTGGAGATGAGGCAGCGTGTGCCCAGGTGGCCAAGAAGGCCACCAGCATCCTGGCTTGGGTCAGCACTGGTGTGGCCAGCAGGACTAGAGCAGGGATTGTGCCCCTAGACTGGGCACTGGGGAGGCTGCACCTCAAATCCTGGGGTCAGTTTTGGGCCCCTACCACCCAGAAGGACCTTGAGGGGCTGGAGCGTGGCCAGAGAAGGGCAACGGAGCTGCTGGGGAAGGGTCTAGAGCCCAAGTGTGGGGAGGAGCAGCTGAGGGAGCTGGGGGTGCTGAGCCTGGAGCAAAGGAGGCTCAGGGGAGACCTTCTGGCTCTGTACAGCTCCTGACAGGAGCCTGGACCCAGGGGGGGGTCGGGCTCTGCTCCCAAGGGACAACAGGACAAGAGGAGATGCCCTCAAGTTGCCCCAGGGGAGGTTGAGGTTGGCCCTGAGGAACAATTCCTTCCCAACCAGTCAGTGCTGGTGTAATGGTTTCACTCAATGATCTCAAAGGTCTTTTCCAACCTACAGGACACTCCGACTCTACCTGAGCAGTGAGAGCAACGCCTGGTGATCTGGAGTCTGCCAAGCAGAACACATTGCACCCCCTCCTACCCAGCACCTATCACCAGAGCAGCACTGTGTTTGCCTTTCTCTTTGTTGCAAACAGCTTGGGGTACAAGATGGGTTCTCTTGGCCAGCTGAAAGCTCAGGGGGGTTCCTGGTCCAACCACTCTGAGTCTCCTCGCTCTATCACCACGTTAGCCAGGACATGATGTGAGCATGATAAAATTCATATATGTAAGATTTTTACATGTTTAGATCAGTAAGGAGATGTTTATGTATCTAGATATGCACGTTTTGAAACATGTGAGCAGTTTTCCAGGGAGAAACACTTTCAGAGAGTTAAACTCCCTACCAGATGCACAGCCCACGATCCACCTGACCCCGCTACTCCGTTTCCTTTCCTAAATTAAACATCTCTTGACTCAACCAACGCCTGCTAGCAGTGCAAAACCCTTTACCTGGCACTTTGAAGGGCACCACGTCGAGCAGCAGGCCCCCCTCCTGGGCTTTCTTGGCCAGGGTGTGGGAGCGGAGGGCGTACTCGTCCTGCTCCCGGCGGGAGACGGCGAAGGCGGCGGCCAGGCGGTCGGCGGAGTGCCCCATGGTCTCACTGGTGGAGAACTCTGCCACGGCTGGGAGCTGCACAGCAGAGCCCCCGTCAGCAGGGGACAGACCCCCCCAGGCTGCCTCAGCCCCCG